ATTTTAAAATTAAGTGTCATTGAATTCAGCCCCCTTAACAAGGTAGCTTCTCCGATTTCATCAGAATGGTGTGCAGAAAAGTAAATGAAATAGCAATGATTTTGCATGTACAAGGTACTGTATGTATCACAGCATCTTACACATGCAAATCTTGATACGGTATATTAAATATATATTACATCAGGTTCCCGAGGTGCCTGATTAGTTTTTATGTCGGTAGGGTGTGGTTTTGTAGTTGGCTTTTGTTGGTTTCTAAGAGTTCACGTTGTTCAAAGGAGATGACCTGCACCTTACCTTGTTGGCACCTGGGATTGTGTGGGCTGCACAGTGAGTGGGAATCAGCTCACAGATCCTACAGGATGCTAATTTGGGGAGGGAGAGGGGGGAAGAGGCAACCTGTTGTGGCACAGTAGCTGTACCTGACCCGCCCCTTCTGGCAACAACCTGGTTTACCGAGATCAGTCATGAAACCACAGGCAAAGTCTTCCCTGAGGCAGAAGTGTAACTACGGTGCTTCACTACTTGTCTACAGGACCCAGAGCCTTCAGGGTGTTACGTCAGAGTTTCTGCTCTGGGTTAGAAATGCTAATGAAAAAAATACTGAAATTGTGTTTAATATATTTTTGACTAAAAATGTCCATTATTACTGTACAGTTTGTTAGGGGTCTCCTTTGTTAGAAGCCTGATTACATTTACTATGATAAAAGTATCTGATTTTTCAAGTGTTCTTCTGCAAAGTAAGACCTAAGCTTACAATCACAGAATATCTGGAGTTGGAAGGGACCCATAATTAAACCATATGACTAAGAGTGTTGTCTAGACTCTCCTTGAACCCTGACAGGCTTGGAACTGCGACCGCTTCCCTGGGGAGCCTGTTCCAGCGACCGACCACCCTCTCAGTGAAGAACCTTTTCCTAACGTCCAAGCTGAACTATCCCTGACGCAGCTTCATTCCATCTCCTCGTGTCCTGTCGCTGGTCACCAGAGAGGAGATCAGCACCTGCCCCTCCGCTGCCCACCGTGGGGAAGGTGTAGACTGCGATGAGGTCACCCTTCAGCGATGAGGTCACCCCTCAGCCTTCCCTTCTCCAAGATGAACAAGCCAAGTGACCTCAGCCCCTCCTCGTAAGTCTTGCCTCTGACCATCTTGGTGACCCTCCTGTGGAGAAGGACGGAGTAACTTGTGACCCCGTTTTCTGTGCAAGGTTTCCTCTTTTGATGAGGATAATGTATTGCCCTAGTATTTCTCACCATCATGAAGGTTGTACTGGTTTTGGCTGTGATAGAGTTAATTTTCTTCATAGTAGCTGGTATGGGGCTATGCTTTGGATTTGTGCTGGAAACAGTGTCGATAACCCCAGGATGTTTCCGTCACCGCTGAGCAGTGCTCACCCAGAGCCAAGGGCTTTTCTGCTTCTCCCCCCACCCCACCAGCGAGGAGGCTGGGGGGTGGGCACAAGGGGTTGGGGGGGACACACAGCCGGGACAGCCGACCCCAACTGACCCAAGGGAGATCCCAGACCATAGGATGTCATGATCAGCAATAACATGGCTGGGGTTGGAGAAGTTTTTCGGGGCTGCTGTTGCTCAGGGACTAGCTAGGTATTGGTTGGCTGATGGAGAGTAACTGGTTTTTTTTTATCACTTAGTGGTTTGGTTTTTTTGTTTGGTTTGGTTTGGGTTTTTTACTTATTAAACTGTCTTTATCTCAACCCATGAGTTTTCTTACTTTAACCCTTCTGAGATGAGAGACCCCCATCCCACTGGGCAGGTAGTGAGTGAGCAGCTGCGTGATGCTTAGGTGCCTACCAGGGTATAAGCTCCACTTGGACTCTAGGTGCTTCTTCTAATAACACAAAACAGAATTTACAGCTTTGGTGACTGTATCTGAGTCTTGTGCTGGTAGCATACGCTGTATCCCATACCCTTCACTTCATATATAAAGGTGGAAAAACCAATTAGACACATTTCTCACAAGAAGTATCAAAAATAATGAAGTAGAAATTGTTTATGTCAAGCTGAAAAAACTAAAAGTTGTTTAGCCATCTTTAAACTTAGTGTCTAATTTTTAAAGTGGATAAAAATACAAGTTGACCCATCTTTCATTAAGTGTGCTTACAAGTACCTCTTATTCTTCCCCTGACATGAATGTCTCTTAACAGTCCAGTCCGCAGCAAAATGAAGCTTTCTAAATGTTTTTTAATGCTGTTAATGACTTGCGGTCCTGCACCCCAGCGGAGGTAAGGGAGAAGTATGTGCCTCAGAGCATTAGAAAATATCTAAACTAGCTCTGAACAAGCTGCTTAACCACTGGAAGGCAACAACGCTGGAGCACTGCTCCCCTAGGCATCGTGCTGTGCAACCAAACCTTCCTTGGCTGAGCCTGGTCTTGAGGGAAAACAGGTCAGAGCGCCTGCCTCGGGCTGGAAGAATTGACGCTGTTCAGCAGGAGAGCAGCACTACCTACAAGCACTATTGTTTGCACGGACAAACGCGCCTCTCAATTTTTTTTCTGAGTAAAACTGAGTACAAGGAAAGGTCTCTATCTGCTGCCAAAGCTTCCAGCTGAAAAATAATGCTATAAAAGGTGGTGGTGGGAAGTGTCATTACTTATATCACTCATTTTGAAGTACCCCGAGCCTCTGCGGGAGCAGGGAGTTCACAGTGCCCCAGCAATGACATTTAGCCCTCAGTTATCCTTGGGTTTTGTGTAAGGGCAGGGGGAAGAGATTTAGTTTGAGCTTTAGAGGGAGGTAATGTGAAAGTTAACTCTGAAGATAGTTTGTAAATGAGGCAGTTTAGAGATCTGTGTTGAACAGTTGGGTGTTGGGTTTTTTTTTAAACAAGAAAGTATTAGGAAGCAACTAACAATCTGTGGAGAACTTCTATCATCTAACACTCCCTAAGACATTACACCCTGGGAGAGTACATACGCTGTACCTCAGGAGATGGTGTAAGATCAGAACTATCGGTGGAGACGTTTCTCCGCGAGACAGTTACTTGCTCCAAAAAGGAGACGGCAGTAGCAAGCAGACAGAGCGTTTTGTTTCTGAGGATCCTGGTTCCCTGCATTTGGAAATGCGGGTAAGAATGGAAGGTCCCAATCATTGTTTGAGCATCCTGGGCAAAGTATTAACAAGTCGGCATCTCTCCTCAAGTCCTGGAAGTCCTGGCAGTCTGGGGGTTGTAAGACACTTAAGCACAAGAGGCATTTGGCTGCTAGGGAAGCAAACGCTGCCTGAGCCACCAGAGCAGCCCGCCAGCTGGAAGCATCCCATGAGCCGCCCATTGGCCCACACGATGTAGCACGGTATTACTTTGATCAGCTTTTATGTACACAAGACTTGTTTGTACTAGAAGAGTGGCTTATATGGTGAATACCACCTCTGGGAGTAAAGGATCATTTGCTTATTTTACCCTGAAAAATACAAGCAAGTAACTGCTAGTTTGGTTTAGCCTTAGCAATAGCTTCGTTTTCTTTGGTGTAAGCCAATACTCGTGTGTGTCCATTCCCTCCCCTTCTTCTAGCTGCTTTTATTTCCAAACTTCTACATCCTCAAGAAGGGCAAGCTTAGTTCAATTTACCAGGCTTTTTTAGTAAGAAGCATCTGTTATTTCATTAATTACCTTCCTTCAGGTGGTCAGAAAGCCAATGGCTTTAGCATTTACTATCTTAATTGGTGGATGTCACTGTTAATTCAAGTAACAGATTTCTGCCCTTTATCTAAAAAACTGGAAGAAGTTTATTGTAACTTAAAATAGCTCCTACTCCTCATATGAGTTCAAGGCAACTTCTGGGATGACCTACTACTTCATAGGTTTTTGCCCGCTTGCATTCTACAACCACCCAGCATTTCTCTTCCTTTATGTAAGTGAACTTCAGAAACTATTTTTGGACAAGGAGTGGAACAATAATTTAAAAAAAAAAAATCCACAACCACAGGAGTTGCATATTTGTTGTACTGATATATTCCAGGCTTGTGTGGTTTTTACATTTATATAGTTTACATTTTGCTTGACCCATAAATAACACTTGCAAGATTAAGAGGGCCATAGTTTAGAGAGTATTTACATAGCCCCACCATGCATACAGAGCTTTTAATACCTAGTAGACAAAATTAAGCTGTTTTGCACTAAACATTTTTCAATATTTTTCAACTTAAAACCCCTGACTAAAATACAAGCAATATTTCCTCCATAATGCTGCTGTTAAATCCCTAACAAATCTAGTTTGATATTGTAACAAACTTCTTCAAATTCAGGGATATAAAAATATTCAGCTTTTAAAATTTTAACTGTACAATATGTACATTAGTATTTGCACTGTTAAATTATGAATACATTTAAGCCTATGAAATACTACATTATAAATATCAATGTTTTTTGATTTAGAATTGCAGCTAATACATTTTAAAACCTGGATAATGCATTTGAAAAGACACAATTCTGGAGCCTAATCCTTTAAGCCCTTATGAAAGTATTTGTTACGTAAGTAGATTCATTGACTTAAATGGGGTTACATGCCTGAGCAAAGGACTCCAGCAGTTGTACCTCTCTCTCTTTCACTGCTGGGGGGTGGGGGGCACAGCCTAAAAAACATCATCATGTGTTGGCAGCTAAATCCAATTCCAGCAGCTCAATTAATATCTTCCTTTAAACAAGCACAAAAAAACCCCCCAACCCTTACAGAGGGATGGCATTCTTAAAAAGCTGCGGAAGGAAAAACATGAAAGTTAAACATATAAACCATTTACGGCTGCTTTAGGATACATCAAGGCCTCAAGCATTTCAGCTCCCACATTCTGATTTTTGCCTCCTTAATAGCGGACTCTTTGGAAAAGGAGCGTTTTCCCAAATTAAAAAAAATAATCCAGTTTTTGTAAGGAAACTTCAAGGAGGAAGAGTGAGCTTTATCAATGAAGAAAGGGCATAGTACAGAGCCTTCTTTTTCTTGGTGGTTAAGAGGAAAAAGTCAAAGATCACCCTGCGTGGGTATAGCTACAGCACAGGACTGACAATTGTATTTATTGATCTTTGTTGAATCCCCTCTCTCAGATAATTCAACATAGGTGAATAGCGAGCATAAAATAAAATGTCTACAAAACGTCTGTATCGAGAACTGCAGTAACAGTATTTTGACAGCTGAAACATATTATGTAAACCTAGCAATATCTGAGCAGATCATCATTCGGCATGGTGACATTTCTGAATGTTACTTGTACAATGTAAACTCTGGCAGGGTTATCATTTACACTGGCAAAGCATTAAGAACCTTAGCAACTTGCCTAAGTACAATTATTAATATAAAAAGATGTGGTTCAGACTGGAGCTACGGAGTTGACTGGTCTTCCCAACTGTTAAAAACAAATTAAGAAATGATGCAATTTTTTCCTTTGTGTCCCCTCTTCTTCTTTGATTTGGTTGTCCTTTGTCCAAACTGAGAACTAGATAACGCAGTAGTTGGACCAGAAAGGTCATCTGTATAGTACGGATATCTCAGTGATCGTGGCTGTGGAATTGGCTGTCCTAGAAAATATCCTTCCTCTTCAGAATCCGATGACGAGGATGAAGTTGAACACCAGGAGTCATCTTCGTCACCATACAATCCAAAAAATTTATCAACCACCTGATTCCGCAGTGCATAATCAGACCTAGTATGGGCATATTGTCCGTACAGCTCCGCATTTTGAATATATGCCCGAATCTCACGTGAGCTTCTATTTTGAATAAATTTTTCATGATCCTGAGGGGAGTAATAACGAAATCTCTCTCTTGGAGAGCATCTTCTTTCTGTGGCCAAGTTAAGTGCATTATCTGAACGAGACTTCCTACTTCTTCTACGATGATGAGAAGGCCGATTTCCACGCTCTTCAAAATGGTAAACGCGCCTACGTGTCCTTTCACTCATTGGAGGCTGACGTATTTCAACATTCTCGTAACTTCCATTATCAATAACGTCATCCGAAAACTTCACTTGCTGCGGTCTAGACTGGGATTTAGATCTTCTTAGTACAGGCATATGCACTGGCTTTTCCTCTGGCAAGACCTTTTCCTGACACAACTCTGAGCTCAGGCTCTTCAAGGACTCTGTGCTCCGGTGGAGCATTGAAGAATTCAGAGTTCCCATGTTGCTCATTTTCTCACAGTCCTCTACCTCCAGTTCTTGGAAAGTTTGCAAAGAGTAGAGAGATGGCCGTGGCTTGCCTTCTCCATCCATTGAAGCCCCTGCAGTGGGAATGGAGACAGGAGGAAAAGAAAATGAGAGGACTATCAGAGAGATAAGTATTGTAACAAAACAGTAAACATTTCAGTAAAGCAGACCTTATTAGTGGTTTTTGGAACTATTACCAAAAGGACTAGCTTCACAGAAGAACAAGCTTTGTTTTGACTTAAAATGTTTAAGTATTAGCTCTGATTACCAAAGAATTAGCTAACATTAGGACATCAAGAGCGGAAGAAATTTAATGAGTTTAAAAATTGTAAACGCATACAACTAAGCCTCTAAGAAAAAAGAATTACTTAAAATTATTCTACAGTCCATGCTTGCCATTTTTAAGGCTAAATATTTCATGTTTCTGGTATCACTTAATTCAGTATTCCAGCTGTTGCTACAGGAAAGCTAGGCTTAGTGCCTTGCAAAGAAGGATCCTTATCCTCCAAAAATCAGCAGCAGTAAGCTCGCCTGCTTTACTCCCGGTTTGTGTCCGATGACCCTTCGCTTCCACAACAGCAATGTCCTCTGCCCTGTGACCTTCCCAGGTGCAATACCTCTAGTTCCTCCTCCTCCTCCTGTGCCCCCTGAACCAAACTCCCCTCATTAGTTCCTTCATTACTGCTTGCGCAATGGAGCATGGGGTCAGGCCTGAGCTACACGAGTAGCTACAATAATTCAGGTTACAGAAAGAAAGGAATGGAGATGAGGATAGGACAACTTTTAAAATGGGTCTCTCATACCTAACTCCCAGGTTTGGGTTTTTTGTAGGGAAATAGGAAAGGAAGGTTAACGCACACACACATGCACACACTTGGCATATCTGACTTTTATCCCTTTGGCTAATTTCAATCACGTTTGACAAGGAGGTTCACAAAAGTGGATTATCAGTTTCTCCTTAGTCAATGGAGAAAGATAATCTCATAAATCTCATTTCCTAAGGCTAAGAAGTTTATGATCCTTTCAGATTTTCTACATATTTTTACAAGCAAATCAGGAAATTACCTAAAGTGTTTTGCAGATTATCTTTAATATTATCCTAGTATGTAATGCAACTTCTTGTACTTAAGGTATGGAAAAAAAAAATCATCTTCATTTGCTTAAAGCGGTGGTTTGTATATAACAAATGGATAGTTCAAGACCATTCTTACTCTGTTTAACATTATGGATTTTTTTTTGTTACAAGCAAAGGAAAGGGAATTCAGAAGGAAAGGAGAAGAATTTAAATAGAATTTGAGTAGCAGAAATGTAGTCTTGTGGAAGAATATGTGCTTAGAAATTACAGACACAAAAAGTTCAAAATACTCCAACACGCATGCTTTGGTGGACCTCTCCATCAAAACCAGTCAATTTTTCCCCCGTTACCTGTTATGTTGGACAAAGCCAAAGAATCCATTGAGTCTCGAACACTTTGCTCTTGCTGTTTCAGGTCAGACAAACATTCAAGCGAACCTCCATACCATGGAGTTTGGTCGTGTTTGTATCCTGACGCCCCGTGTTCCATGTCTAGCTCCTGGATTTTCCTGCTGCTGGCAGGGCCTGGGTGGCTGCCATAGGCAGAGTCACCCAAGCCATCTTGTGACTGGGCCCAGTACATGTCTGACTGATACTTCTTACTTGCTAGGCTTGGATTATTTTTTTTCAAGTCCAACTTGCTCTTGACCATGCTGTCAGAAATCCAGTGTTCACTTGATCTAATGTCTACTTCAGCAGGCTGCTGGAAGAGGCTTTTATCACCAAACTTCAGAAGAAGTTGAGTCATGTAGTCTTCGTGTTCAGCCCATTCTTCAGGGTCTTCAGGCATTTCCTGCTCTACTCTTCCTTTCCAGAAGTCTTCGTTAACAAAGCTTGCCTCTTCCCTTGAAAGGCTTAAGTCATCCAGCTTACGAGAAAGAGTATCGTCAGCATTGCCTGAAAGGCCAGGAAATTTGTAATTGAGGGCCGGTGAGAGGAGGAGAGACTGGCGGCACTGGTCGGCTGACCGGCTGCTTTTTCCCATGCGAACGCTCCTCCTGGAATCTCTAGATCGAGCAGACTGAAATGCAGAATCGGAAGAGTCGGAGGCATGAACGTCCTCTCCCAAGCTGCAGGTTTTTGAACAGTAAATCTGCCCTTGCTTTGGAAGGAAAGGGCAGCCAAGCAAAGAGGTCTTGCACTGAGCACAAGAAAAGCAAGTCTCCGTGGCATGCCAGTGCTGTCCATCATAGGTCATCTGAGCATGGTCAACACCTGGAAAGGGAGAAAAACCAATGCTTTGGGTTTCTCAGAAAAATCACTTGCAGAATCCACACTTCTGGAATGTGAAATAATTTCATAAATTGGCTTTCCCTTATTTATAAGTTTAATGCTTAAAAAGGACATACTTACCAATGTGTTCCCCACAGGTCTCACAGTATTCCGCATAGAGAGATTCAAAACAGTTACAGCAGAATGGTCGCCCATCCTTCATGATATATCTCTGTCCACCCAGGATTGTTTCACACTCGAGGCAACAGAAGTGCTTCATGTGCCAGTGGCGACCCTCAGCTTCTGTACACTCATCAGCAAAAATGATCTTTTCACAGATAAAAAGTAAACTTTTAGTTAAGTGGCCAAAACCTCACCTTGTGAGTTGAAGCATACAAAATACCCTAATTGTGCAGTTCGCATGCTAAACTTATTTTTATTTAGCTGCCTTTTGAATACAAAGATAGAAACAACACTCTCCCACAGCGACTGCAGCACTCTGACCTTTTCTATAACAAAAAAAAAACCAAAAACAAAACAAAAAAGAAAAAATGTATTGGGTTTTTTTTCTCTTTAAAAAGATAACATAAGAACTCAACCATTAAAGAAGCTGCTATCAGGATGATATTTTGGAGTACTTGTACAGATCCGTTTTCTAATTCAATCTACAAGATTCAGTTCTAAATACAAACAGGCACGTGCTTTCTAAATACCGTCACATTGCTTGTAATATTGCCAATTTGACAAGAAATGAAACACCTCAGCCTTCAAACATATCTATGTAGCGGAGTCCTGACTTCCTAAATGAATGCAGCTGAAGTTAGTAATTGCCCAAGTGATGCAGTTTGTTAACAACAGGAGTGTAGATTGGCTGTAAAATGTGAATTATTTACCTCATCGCAGGCTGAACATCGAGGTTTGAGAAGTTCAGCGTGGTGCCTGCCACAGTGAATTTTCCCATCTTGGTAGAAGTAGATAAGGTCAACGAGCAGCTCATTACATGTGAAGCACACAAAACATGAGGGATGCCAGCACACACCAGGCCCAGCTCTTGAGGCAAAAACTGCAACTTCACCGCCGTTTACTTTTGTACCACACTAGGAACAAAACCAGAAAGTGAACACGCTTACCATCCCAAACTACTAGCTTCTAGCATTTAAACTAAATTAAAACACCAAACCCAATATGCAGGTTTTATTCCAAAATTCTGACAAGAGGGAAAAAAATATTCTCAATTCTGGTCTAGACAAACCCTTTGTGAATACAAGTTTATTTTATACATAACAACACTTTTTAAGCATATGCCTGGTTTTGACCTGTAATTGCTTTAGTATGAGTCAGCAACAGGGTTTTTTGGGTAGGAAATATATCAAAGATTCAGTTCATTCTCTGTATCAAAGGTTGTGTTTTGCTTAAGCAAGCACTACCTTCTTTCTATTTACATGCATTTTCAAAAATACTCTTTTTTTTTGGTGTTCCAACATAGACAGAGATAAGCTTACACATAATATTGAGATACTGCAAGTTTTACATTATTCAGCCCGCTAGCTGGCTTGTGGCACCAGTAGTATTACCTGTTCACAAACCGCATGCATCACTGCTCTTGAGAGTAGTTTAATAGTGCCCCGGCCGAGTGCCTCCTTTTTGCGCTGAGAACTGAACATCTGCAGTTCCTTCTTTTCTTCTTCACTTAAAGACTGGCAGTATCTCACCTTCCAGTGAAAATGCAGGAGAACTTATTTTAGATACTGAGCTTTTAAAGTAACAGATTAATAAGTAAGTGCCTATATGCAAGCAACTCATCAGGTGTGCTGGCAATCATTAAACTTTTCCAACTTGTCTTCTCTACCGTCTTAACGTTTAGCTAATATGGCATAATACAAAAGTAGCACAGAGAGGGATTTTGCATTACAGGATAAAAACCCCACCATACTAAACTAAGAAGTTGTCTAGGCAAGAAATAAGATTTTAAAAAGCCAAACCAAAACCTGCTGCCATCCTAAAATAATGGAACGGACCTAAATCAGCCATAACGTCGTCCTTTAGATTTATGGTTAAGTGCCCACAACTAAGTATTGCAGTATACACAAGATCTTAAGTATTGACACCCCCGCCCCCTTCCCTTACAAAGAGCTTGTTTGTTATTTCCACTTCTACTCCAAATTACACTGCATATCTGAGATGCAAACCTTTTACTATCACAAAGCATCCTTTTTGTGTGCTACAATGCAATTCCAGGAATTTGTAGGTTCCTGGTAATTGGTGGGTGGCTGCAAACACTATAAAACCAACTTGTGTTAAGTTTATTGCAGTGACACCAGCCTCCCTAACAAGCAAAGGCAGTGTCCTTCCAGACAGCTCTTATCTGCACACAAGCCAACCGGACAGCTAAACAATGGACTCAGTGTACACACCGTGCTGCTTTATAGGTCAGATGCCACGGTTTAGGCCTGTAATAAATACACGGGTAGGCAATTCTCCATGTAAAAGCCGCCAGGGAGACCTAAGCCCTGACGGTGCATCCTAAATTGTGTATTTACCTCATTATCGTGGGGTGGCAGCTGATAGAGAAGTTGTTTAATTCGGTGTTTCTCTCCAGGGCTGTTAACGTAAGGGACCTTCTCCTCTGGCAAGCAGGCGAAATACAGCTGGACCTGACCAGGAGGAACGCAGAGTTCAGACCGAGGGACACGCATCACCCAAGCACCGCAACCGTCCTTCAGCTACTGTTTTATCTCGGGTCTCGTTTACGAAGGAAGAAGGTTACGCTACATTAGATCTGTGACAGGGTTTCTGCTGGAAATACGAGACCCAGATGAACCAGCTCAGCAAACCTGAATTGTCTCTGATAAAACTAGCACCCAGCTGCTGAATTGCTTTTCTGGAATGCAATTTGCAGTGACAATTAGGGGGGTATCATAAATTATGCACATTTAATGTTCTCATTATTCCCACCCCCTTCAGGGCTGGTCAACAACCCGGTGGAAATTCCAAGTTTCCCCTCTGCAATTTACCACACAAGGTATGAAGCTTTCCAGAAAACAGCCACTATATAAACAAATTTAATTTGCTCTCTGCATTTTACACATTGTTGAGACAAAAGCTGTTTTGTAGTCTCCTGCTGATCAGGTTCACCCAAAGCATCAGCTTTCATTGCTTCCATGTGGGCTTTGGTAAGAAGGTGGAAACATCCTTCCCTTGGGAGGAGGCTGGATCCAGCCACATTTCAATCAGATGCAAATTAACTACAAAATTTTCACAGGCTGCATGTTTTTGATAAAGAAGTCAATATTAGGTGTACACACCTAACAATCTTCACTCTTTTTTTTTCGGAAGAAAATTATGACAGGAAAGCTGTAATGAACACTATGACAAAGCCCAATGGCAAAAAATATTTTTGTGGAACAGCTACAGATTTATTGTTTTTCCTATGCAGTTTCCAGCTTGTCACGAGGCCTGGGGCTGTAAATAAGAGCTGACTATTGGCAAAAATATTACTTGCCATCCAGATTGAAATAACGCTCAGGTCAACAGCTTATTACTGTGCAAGACTGATGAAAAAGCAGCAGTAATCAGTCACTTGACTCAGGAAGCAATCAAAATTATATGAGAAAGGTTGTACGAAACATGACTTGGTCTTCATTTAACCAAAATTTAAACATCAGAAGTCTACTGTAAGCTCACTTACTACTGACTGTATTTCAAGAAGCTGCAGGAAAAGATAACAACATGCAGTAAGAAGTGAAGCTTTAAAAGGTACTTTACACCCTTTTCTCAAGTTTATTGCACTGTTCTCAAAATAAGTCATTCTTCTTGGGAAAAAAAATCTTCAGTGAGTTTAAGCTAGCTGGATTATGAGGATATTTTAGGGCATTTAATTGTGCTGGCAGAACGTTAGCTTGCTGTTTGCCTTAAGGTCTGATTCATCAGGATTCTTATATATGCTTAAGTAAGCGATAAAAAGAGTTTCCCTAAAAATAGCGCATTATTTGCCATTCCTGCTGACATGTTACTTTATTCATGATTAAGAAAATCTCTGCATAGCAAAAAGGAGACATCTTCTGCACCTTTATAACTATGGACTGTATTAGCTTGCCAGCTGAAGGAGGCTTGCTCTGCCTCTGTTAGCAGATGCTACAAAGCCACTCTGTCCATTTAACACTCAAGTCTGAGATCTGGATATTACTGAGTACACAGCTTCAGCACAATCATCAAGTAAATATAGCAATAAATCAAGCAATATTATCAAGTAAATGAACACCATGAGAGGTTCATTTTGATCTCCCACAGCAACTTGCTCATCAGTAATTTCACTTTTATTTCCATTACCATGATGTTATAAAGAAGAAAGAGGAGAGGGGAAGGAACAGCCCAACCAACCCATGAGTTTCGGTTCCAGAGATCGTACAAGAGAAATCCTGGCATGAACAAATGGCAGGCATACAACTATTTAAACAAGCGTAAAATATATTACTACTTGTCACAGTGACAGAACACTTGCATTTATGTGCGCTGTAGTAACATAGATGTTCTAGATGTCAAATGCCTAATTATTTAAAGAGTTGTACAAGTGCAGTGAGGTACTGGCCAAGTAGCACAATGCCACAAGGTATGCTATGAGCTTTAATTTAACCTAATAACATATTTCAAAGAGAAAGCAAATTTCTATGCTGCTTTTAGACTTGAGAATACATACCTCTGTGGCACACATTCACTGAAAAATATTGACTGGGAACCTTGTTTTGGAACCTAAAACTCCTCGGTGTTGAGGATTTTAAGCTCCCTAAACACAGCCTCATTAGAATAGGAAACAAAACAAGAAGAGTTCTAGACAAATTTAAGTTTTCTACATTATAAGAATTTAATTAGACTTGTAGAGGCAGCGTATCACTCCCTTAGACAGTCCTTACAAGGCTTATTTTAAAAATGCAGAAGCACAGTTGATACCTGCTCTGGTCTGAGGCCTGGGGGTACCCAGGCATATTCTTCCAAGGCACAGCCAGAGTCATCATCCGATGTGGAGCTTCGCTGACACCCAAAAACGAGATTGTTGGCTTTGGGCTCCATCTCCAGTGGCATAAGTGTGAAGCGTTAAATATTTCAGCTGCACCTCATCAAGCAATTGATCTGGAGAAAGAGATTAGCAGAGTTTTAATACACTTGAACATGCAACAACTAATTATCAGTGTAAAGGATCTTACAACAGTTCAGTATTCCTTGTGTTGCCCAGAACAATAAATGATTGAAGCATCATTACAACTTGCTACAAGCAATTCAAAAGTGCTTAAGAGAGCTATAAAAATAAAACTACTCAAGAAAAAGAAAACTAGACACACACTACCACGTTTGGCAACCACAATGTATTTCAATATTAACGCTTGTCATCTTTTACACTTCTGCTTGTTTCACATCACAGGTTATATGTAGGTGTACCTAGGAAAGACTCATTGAGCAGATACCAACAAAAGGAATGAGCTCTTAAGCTCAACCCGAGCTCTTCCAGAAGTCATTACTACCACCAATCTAGTAACACAAAAGACATGACAACCGCTTGTCAAAAACTAAAGAAATTGTTGCGAAAAGACAGTTGTGCAAGTAGCATCCTGTTTTTCACAAGGTAGGCACAGAGCAGTGAGCGTCTGCTGGATTCCTCCGAGAACTCTGTTTTAGCTGTATCAGAGCGGAAGGGCGTTGGTCCAGTTAAATATCTGAAAGCCAATTAGGCCAGATTAGGCTCTGTAAAATACATCATGATTGTTCTGTTAATTTAAAACCCTACAGGGAGATGCTTCTGTTGATTCATGAAGCCTGCAAAGCTTAATATCAGTGGGATCATTTTGAGTCACAACTGGCAAAGAAGGCTCTCACCAACATCTGTAGCGTTCCGCAGTAGAAAGCTTATTAAGATAAGTATCTTACATTAATTCTAGCAGAAGTTCTTAGGAAATTCAGACCAGGAATTTCAGTGAAATACAGATGATCAAAAGCAAAGAGGATGTACCCTACCATGACAGACATCCTGACCACTGGGGTTAGAAACAAGCTTGCTTTTACAGTACCACATTACACACCAGCTGTGCCTTCCCCATTTTTGGCAATTCTTTCACCTATGCATCTAAACACAGATGCCATTTCATCAGTACTAGATCTGAGCTGTAGAAAATTTTAATCTCCTTGACATATAACCTTGCTGGTGGGTCTTAAAGGGGAGAGCAATCTAAAAACTGCTGGTGGGTCCCACATTACATTGCCAGTCTCATCACCACCATATTAGAGAAAATAAGTTGCTGCTAGGTCACAGGTGGTAGAAAGATTTAAGACCGCATACCCAAGTATTCTGCTAGTTACTCAACAGGAGTTTCTCCTCCTTCAAGCATGAGGCACTGGTTAGTGCCAGGCTCTGTTGATTCAGTACGTAAACCCAAACCTGCTCCATAAAAAGTGGCCACATGCATCCAAAGCTACAAACTCAGTGAAATGACGATATTCAGTATTACACAGTCTATCAATCCCCATTTTCAATACGTCTATACATTCTCACACCCAATAAAAAGAGATGGGATTACTTAACTCTTCCGCTGGGTTAGTGCTCCAAAAAATTAGCTTGTTAACTTTACTCCAAAAACTTCTGGTTCAAAAACATATGCACTATTTTTGGTGCACTGCTAAGATGCCAACACACTTCTATTACACTGCATAGCTGCACTGTAGTAAAAGATTCATTTAATACTTGATGGGGCAAGAAAACCTGCCAACCTCCCCTTTGAGAACAGGCTATGTCTACAAAGCTTGTGAGCCATCAGGCAAATTTCTGAAATCTTACTCTAGCTGAACAACTGAAGGTTAGCAAAACAGCTTCCGAGCTTAGCATCACGATGTCACAATCTCTGCCAAGGAAGGTGAGAAAAACCAAACTCAATCCTAAAAGCTCAATCCTATATATTTAAAATAGAAAGACAGACATCCCAGTACATACTGGATCCCTTGAATTAGTTTTCTTCAGAAAAAAATGATAAGACAAATGATACAAAACTGTTTCCCTTCTCCACGTACTAGTGGAAATGAAGTCAAGCATCAGGTATGTTTTTGTTATTGCTTGTGTAAAACTGGGGTATGAGGAAGAAGGGACAGAGGAATACTGTGACACAGTTAAGAACTCGCTCTAGCAAAAAAAGGCAACAGTGCTCACTGTTGCAGATGGATGGGGATGCTCAGGTTGGCAGCTTGTGTCCCGCATCATCTATACCCAATTCTTAAGTGTAAAATCACTATGAGTATCACTGAGAAACCCAAGTCCTTCCAAGATGATCTTAGCAGCAGATGAACTGTTTTACAATTTCCCCTCAGAAAGGGGTAGATATCTGGTTTACAATAATATGCCACTCACTGATACCTAAGCTGCTATTTCAAATTCTTACAGCACTACAACATGAGAACTTGTGTTGGTCAAATTATCACTTTTCAAGAACTGACTCCTGCCCAATAACCCAGGAATAAAAGCAGTCACTAGGTGAAACACCTTCACCAACACTTCATTAGGCAGCCCGACCTCAACCACACCACAGAAAGCAGATCTGAAATGTAATTCAGGCAAAGAGACAGGTTCAGGTGCCAGTCCCCCGGCACTTGAGCAGGGTGTACCCCCAGCTCGCTCACACGACATCCAGCGCTCACAAGCACAAAAGTAATTCAGTAATTGCTTCTTCGTATTGATTGTTCAAAAACCTCTCTCTGTAAGATCAAAGATTAACTTCTCTGACTTACTTTATTCTCTTGAAAGACAAGGAAAAAAAACCAGAATCTGAATGCATGAAGACTTGTTAACCTTTCTGAGGATTTTTGAACACTAAGGCTACATGCTACTTCTACATGGCAAAAAGCAGCGCTGGGTAACGTTGGGATTTCAAGTATAGTGAAGGTACGTAAGTGTGAGAGCGTTGCCTAATTCCAAAGGAAGACAAGGCATTGGTATGAGAGAGAGGCCATGCTGCTTTTCCACGGAGACGGATCCTGCCTGAGTCGCCTCTGACCCATCCATTTCAGACAGAATGCGGTCCAGCTCCAGCAAGAGAAAACCACAGACCCACAGGCCCACTTCCCAGTGACACAGGGCAGGTTGAAAGTATGGCTGGTAGAGAATAAAGGAAAAATACACCTCCCCTCCAACTGTTAAATGCAACTTTACAGTCAGGGTGCTCCTCCCCAGATAAGGCAATTGGAAATGTTTAAAGCGAGGTTCATAAATCTCAATGAACCGAGATTACTCAAAGGACAGCATTCACTTTAAAAGAAAAACGCTACCGTAGAGCTAATGGTAAGCCAGCTATAAAATGACTGACAGCGCATCATATATCAATATGGTCATGTCACAAATATCATGGTGTTGCTGACAGTGAGGTTTCTAAAACAGCCCAGCTTAACAGCAGGCTATCTGCAGAACTGTTTTAGCAATTGCTTGTTTAGGAGTTCTCCTTCCTCTCCTGCTTAAGTGTAATTTGGTTTGCATTTTAAAACTACAGGGTTCTTCCTCCCTGCCCCCCAACGACACTCATCCTTCAAAGTGATCCGTTTAAAATGATTACATCCTAAGGAGGATTCAAATGAATATAAACAACAGCTGAAAAAATAAATGCTTTCCGAGGGATGAGTAGAAAGGTGGTCTTTCTACTCCTGCCACGACATCTACAAAACACAGCAAGGATGCTTTGTTTTGCTTTCTTAAAAGTCTGTGGAACGTTTTGAGGTTTCGGCTCTGTTCAAATACTGCCTCTCAAAAAAAGCTTCATAGCCTACAAGGAAGTATTTCACTGGCAGCTTGACAAGTATGAATAACATAATTGAATTAAACAGCTAAATTTCATTTAAAAAGAAAAGCAATTAATACCTTTTTTCCACTGATGTATTAAAACAACCGTATTCTGACAGAGTTCTTAGAAGCAAAGACAAACTACGCTCCTAATTACAACAAACCTATTGGTACACAAAATATTAGGGTATCAGACTTGGAGCAAAGCTGTTGCTGAACCCCATATGAAGGTTATCCCCGTGCTAGGATTTCCAGCTCACTGATTATGTTCACCCCTGACCAGATAGAAGAGGTCGTGATTTGTGAGCACAGTTAGACAAACATCTCCTTGCCCATCCCCTGCTGTTTTACTCTGTCCTGCAGGGCAAATTGTTTAACAACTTTTTTGTTAGAAGGCTTGTTAACAAGGCTATAGGGGATACAAGATGCATATCACATGCATCCATTCACAATGAAGGCTCAACGAGTTAAGATTAGCATGGCCAGCCCATTCACCTGCTTATTTAATCCCTGGTGCACGATAACTACATTAGAAGAGCAAGGGTGTAATACAGCAGCAATAAACCACCACAAAATAACTATTAATAATTTAAAAACCATTTCCAATACATCTTACGGGAATGATCAGAAAGCCCCATTCCTTAGCTACAGTACAAATAACCTATTTACGGACAGCTCTGTACTTGGGAAATCTGGATCTGTAGTCAATGAGCAGCGACTGTTTCAGCTGTTGGGTCCTTCCAGTAACGACCTATCCAGAGCAGGGGGGAAAGGAATGAAGCCTGCGTACTTGTTCATTCAGCAGGCCTTTAGATGGACCCTAGAAGCAAGGACTGTTTTCCCTTCCATTGGCCAGCCCACAAGCACCGACAGAAGAATGAACTGCTTTCCTCCTCTAGCATCCTAACGCAAAGATCACTTTCCCAACTGGAAGCTGGACGATCCTTCTTGGGGTGTTTTCCTTGGACGAGCCATACTGCAAAGACAGGCTACCTGCGTTAACAAAAGGAGGAAGCACGGTGACAAAAGCATCGCCCCACGCCAACACCTCGGATTTGGATGTCTTACGCTCGGCGCTGCGCAGAACACGACCGCAGGCTGCAGTTCAGCGAGAACCAAACCTCTTGCCGAGGAAGCGGTATTCTCACGGATGCTTCCCCCCCCTCCTCTCCTTAAGAGGGTGTACAGATTTAGAAAGAAAGAAATCTTGCCTTTTACAGTCTCCCATTGATTTTTTTTTTTAATTCTATTTTAAACAGCAGCCAGACTTTAC